AAAAAAACGAGACACTAAATTTATTTATTAAACTTATTTTTATTTATTATGTGGATACAGAAAATAGTGAAAACTGTGTCGATACAGAAAACAGTGAAAACAGATAGAAGAAATAAAGCAGAAAATGGATACTCCCTTGAAGAACAAAAGCCTCATTTCATTTGGGAAATCAACAAATTCAAAAGTCAAAGACTCACTCCAAGAATGTCCATGGCCTAAAAAAATTCATAAGCTCTCACTATACTACATAAAGATAGAAATTTTCTACTAAAGACTAAAAAAGTATAACAAATTTCAAAGTCAAAACTCACCAGAATGTAAAAATTACCTTGACGACCCTTGTATTGAGCCCATGGAATCCTATAACATCCATTTGATGATATTATTATATATAAAATCTGAAACAAAAGATGTTAACAACAAGGCCCATTTTATTAGAATAAAAACCATAGATATGATCAATAAACAAAGGTTTGCATGGCTTGTCCTTCTAATTTGAGGTAAACCATTCATGGTTTTGGTTTGAATAAAGCCACATGATTATTTGAATGCTTCCCCTATGAAGCACTATCAATTAGTTTAATTTTAAAGGAGAAACTTCAAAATTATTTTACAACATGATAGAAGGTCTTACGTAGGAACGACCGATGGAATAGAGTATGTATTGAGTAAATAATTAGAGATTACAATTAAATATATATTCTCGGGCCAAACCTTAATCATAGAAAATTCAGATGATAATCCAAATTAACAAAAAAAAGGAAGATTGGGGTTTTTAGCAAGGAAAGTAATTAGGCAGATAGGAAAGAAAGCGAACCAGATATAGAGGATGAGATAAGATTGCCATGTTCTTCAATATTAATAGCAAGAGGTATCACAAACAATGAGAAACATTAAAACATGATGTGACGAAGAGAACCTTGAATTTGAAGTTGAAGGGAGGAACCCTTGGAAGCGATATTCAAAGTAGAGAAACCCTAAGCGAAGTCTCCTATCTTAAACAACGTCAGATATCCAAGCTTGATGATGTGACTCAACGCACAATGAATCAAGAAGTTCATACCTGTAAAAGTGAGATTGAATAAACATTTCCCTTCGAGTTTTTACACCACATACACATTGGCGAACCATAAACGTCGAGTAGAAAAGAAAGAGTAAAACCTAAATCAACCTACCTAAATTGAGAGATCAGAAGCATGGTGGAGCATGAGTCCTTGAGACATAGTTACACATTTTTCGTAATCAACCGCTCGATAGAGCAGAATGACAATGAAGGGTCGATCACAATTCCTGATTTCTTGCTATTAAGATGAATTCAAATATGTTTTCTGATTTTTTTCAAGATAGAATCAACTTAATTTGAGCGATGATTTTGGGAAGATATAACAGAAAACGTCGGTGATAGGGATTAGGGTGCGAGAAAAGTGGGAATTGAAGGAGAGAGCGGCGAGATTTAGGGAGATGAATAAGTTGTATTTAATAGCTATAGAGTTTAATGGTAACATAAGGACAGTTTTGGTATTTCAGTTAGACATTTTGAGCGGGAAAAAAGCTTGGGGAGGGGCTGAGCAATTGCCACTTGACAATTTTGTACTCTTTTATCATGATAGGGGATTTATAAAATACAGCGGTTTTCAAAAGATTTTTACAAATATAATTATTTATTTATTAATAGTCAATAGTCATTTTCATTATAATATTATGAAAGATTTGCATTGTTATATCAAAGTCGTTACCCTTGTTTTTTTTAATATAGCAAGGCAAACGTGATATTAATTTCTAAACATAACAAATTATAATTCCCATCAGTTTTTTTTTTAATGGACAACATAACCTAATCACATTACTTATCTTATTACACTCACTAAATAGAAAAAAAAAATCATAGAATTCATAAATACAAATGTATTACGTTTAAAAAAAACATGCGTAAGTAATTTTTATTTAAAAAGAAAGAATTTGGTATATACCCTAGTAAAATATTAAAATGTTATATTTATCCAACTTAATTTCTAAATATCATATTTACTCTTAATCAAATTTTAAAATGTTGTATATGTCCTTTTTAAACATTAAAATATCACATATGCTATTCTTAAACATCAAAATTTAAATTTGGTATATATCCTTATTAAACATCAAAATATCATATTTTTCCAACTTAATTTCTAAATCATATTTACCCTAAAATTTTAAATTATCATATATACCCGTTTTAAACATTAAAATATTATATGTATCATTTTTAAATATCAAAATATCATATATGTCATTTTTAAACATCAAAATATCAATGATAATATATAAAATATCGTTTATCTATAACAACACAATATTCAACAAAAAAAAAAAAACTAAACAATCAATGTATACATTCCATGGAGATGACTACATATGAAGCGTGTTGTTTGTCAAGAGAACGACATTACAACAATTTAGAATTAGACGTTGTATTATTATAAACGTATGGATAATACGGTTAAAACTTTCAATTATTATAATAATTCTAAGATATAAAAAAAGATTATAAACTATCAAAAAATATTGTAAAAAAAATTGGACACATGATATTTTGAATATTTATAAAAGATAAATATAATATTAAGAAATTAAGTTGGATAAATATGATATTTTGATGATTAAGAATGATACATATGAAATTCTCCCTTATCATATAGGTCATACCGGAAATGATCCATGTTTATATATGTTATTTTTTTTCATATGATAGTTATTCAATAGTAATATTGTTTCATATGCTTCCAAATAACAAACATAGCACATATCGTTTATGTTGATTTTTTTCATAAGCATTTGTCTAAACATCATTTATTTGAAATTCAAACCCAGCACAAAATGATGTTTGCTTTTCACTTAATGAACTTTAGGACTTAAGTATTTACTATGTTTAATAGTATATGGCCATTTTTTTTACGTAATATGGACGTAATGACTTTATTGATTAAGTCAAAATACATGAGTTAATATATTAACACTTTAATATTTTACTTATTTTTTTTTTCTCAACTTCTATCATGTTAAAATGATTAATTCTATTAAAATTGATTAATATTGTGATATTTGTTTTGTGCATTATAAGAAAATCTAACTAGGAGAAAACCCATGCTATATATATATATATATATATATATATATATATATATATATATATATATGTTGTCTTTCTTATCTTGATGATGTTGTTACATACGGTTAACTTTGCAACATTTATGTGTTTGCTTAGACCTATGAGTATGGGTAACGGGGAAGCGCGTTATGCCTATGTTCAATCTGCGTAGCACCTCCTCACACCACCTCTTGCCATCCATCGAACACCACTTCGATAATACAACAGGTAACGATCACCACCACTCTTATTTCGTTATATATGCGTCGAGATTTAAGGCCGATTCACCGGAACTAATAGACCAAACAATCTATCTTCTCCTCCACCTTTTGATTTGACCACTGCCTGTATGGTTCTATCTATCTCACAAATGTTTTTAAATCAAGAACCAGGGCATATACCATATGTGATCGGGAGGAACTGGGACGCCACCCAACATAAGTATCAAAGTTCATAAGAAATTCTAAATTGACATTTTAACAAACACATGGCAGGCAAAAAGAAAAACTATTGAATTCAATTGTTAGGGCTCATATTAGATGACAATAAACACAATAAAATCATATATTAGCTCCAAAAATCGATTGTAGATGGGAATTTGAGGTTATTTGACTCCCATGTATGTTTTTTGTGTGTTTGGAAACCCATAAAAAATGGTTTCCCTAAAACCTCAACCTATTTCTTGTATGTCTGTGAAAATCAAAACCTTTTTTTTTTCCTTATCTTCTGAATCGAAGCTTGTCTATTATCCCTTTTTCTCTCTTTGAATTACAGGTTGGTAGAAGATGATGCTCAGTGTCACAGTGGTGACATGAAGGTGATGGTTGGATGGTGCTAGGTGCAAGGTGGAGAATCATTGAGTTGCAACAGTTCATGATATGATGATGTGTTCTTTAATGGTGCTTTCCATATGAAATCAAACTAAAACCCAAGAAGAACTGAAGTTGGCAAATAGGAACCGAATTTACTCTAAGCCAATATGTTAAATCGGGTTTCTTTAGTTTTGGAAATAGAGCTTTCGGATAGGAAGAAGAGATATAGCCGGCAACAGTAGGTTTCGTTTCATTGACGGAGGTGGGTGATTCAGCGGTGACCGTGGGTGGAGATACATATGGAGGTCTCGATCTTGATCAGATTAAGAGAAAAGGAAAGAAGTTCTTTTGACGAGAGAGAGAGAGAGAGAGAGAGACCTTTTATATATTAAATAATTATATTTAATTTAAAAAAAATTAAGAAAAACATCATAAATGATCCTTGTGGTAGTGAAATGACGAAAATGTCCTTCAGTTAACAGACAAAATTCAACGAAGTTTACAATAAAGACTAATCATCAAAAGTTTTGAAAGCATAGAGACCATTTATGATGCTTTTTCATATATATATATATATATATATATATATATATATATATATATATATATATATATATATATATATATATAGTGTGGTTCAATAGAGAACCATAATTAACTAATGAACCAATCTTTTTTCAACATTTAGAGCTTGTTTTTATAAAAAAAAACTAAAAATATAGAAATTTAAAATTTTTTATCATTTTTCCAATGATATTAAATTCGATAAAAAAATTCGTCAAATTCACAGTGTGAATCTGAATTCATACGGTAAACTCGAAAAATATATAATTTATTTTTTAGCATTCATAATGTGAAGTTATTAATTTAAAAATTTTTGGTTTTTTTTTTTTCGATAAACAATAAGTTTTAAAACTTGGAAAAAAATTTGATTCCTTAGAGAACCAATAATTATGGTTATTTATTAAACTTTTTCTCTTTTTTTTTTTTCTCTCTCTTTCTTTCTCTCTCTCTCTATATATATATATATATATATATATATATATATATAATTGAGGAAGATTCGTTTATATAGTATTTCAAGTCTTATTGTATTCGCCGTCCATTCGTTTTAATTTAGTTTCCATATCTCTCTTTCTTTCTCCACTTGCCTTCCAAATTTCTCCACTAGAGAGAGGGAAAAAGATCAAATCGTTGAAAGAATTCCATCTTATTTAGTGTCATACCTAATTTCCTATTTTCATCTGCATTGATTCCTTCCTCCAATTGAAAGAGCCAAAAATTGCAGGCGTCAAACATATTTTTGGCGGTGTCGCCTGCTACATTTAGATTCTGTGTGGCATTTTCTGAAGAGATCTCAACTCTCTTTGTCAAAAATTGACAAAAAGAGACGACATATTTTTAAGTTTTGACTATAATTCTTGATTTCCGTCACCGGTGGCCGGTGGGATCTGTGGAGGAGTTGGGAAGTGCGTGTTTCAGTTTCTAACCATTTACTTCTTTCTCTCTCTAGACACGCGTGAGTCTCTGGTTTATGATGATATCACCGACGCGGATCCTTGCCAGGTCAATGGTTTGATCTTGAGAGACTTATCTCCTTTTTAATCGGCAAAAGGTCTGAAATCTTGAAATCTGACCTCAGTCTTCAATCTCTCTCACCCAAACATGATGCACATGAGAACCAAAGCACCGGAGCCGACTATGGCCGCCGCCGCCGCCGGTGTTGATAATGAATGGGAGGTCCGGCCAGGAGGAATGCTAGTCCAGAAGCGAGATCCGAATGAAGAACAGACCCGTATACCTCCACCTACTATAAGAGTTCGTGTCAAATACGGGTCCATTTACCATGAAATCCGTATCAATTCTCAAGCCACTTTTGGTAAGTAGCTTATGAATTTCAATTTTCGATGTAATAACCATTTCTGGAAATTTGAAAGATTCAGATTATAATCCTTGGGTCGTGTTACAGGTGAATTGAAGAAGATGTTAACCGGACCAACAGGACTACACCATGAAGATCAAAAAATTATGTACAAAGATAAAGAAAGAAGCTCCAAAACTTTTCTCGATGTTGTCGGCGTGAAGGATCGATCGAAAATGGTGGTGTTGGAAGATCCGATTAGCCAAGAGAAAAGATACATCGAGATGCGAAAGAACGCAAAAATGGAGAAGGCGGCGAAATCGATATCTGAAATTAGCTTAGAGGTCGATAGACTCGCTGGCCAGGTACCTAATCAATCGGCTTTCACAATTCGATGATTCGATTAGTATGTTAAACTAAAAGCTTAATCATTACGATTTGGTCGGTGGTCAGGTGTCGGCGCTTGAATCGGTGATCTCAAAAGGCGGGAAAGTGGCGGAGAAGACGATGTTGAATCTGATCGAGTTACTGATGAACCAACTGCTTAAATTGGATGGAATTATGGCGGAAGGAGATGTGAAATTGCAACGGAAAATGCAGGTGAAAAGGGTTCAAAAGTACGTGGAAGCTCTCGATGTTTTGAAGATTAAAAACTCAATGCCGGAGCAGCCGCCGGTAGAACAGAAACATTCAAACGGGCATGGTAGCGCCGCCTCACCAAGCCACCCATTTCCTAAATCCAGACGGTCGGTTGGGCATTTTCCACCTATACCGGTGGCGCCTAAACAGCAACCACCACCACAACCGCCGAGGAACTCTGGGGAGGTTGTGGTGACTACACAATGGGAGACTTTTGATTCGATGCCGACGGCAGCGCCACCGTCATCATCCAGCAATACAATACATCATCCCAAGTTCAGCTGGGATTTACTTTAAATTAGTTTTTTTTTTTTTTTTTTTTTTTTTATAAAGAAAAGAATTATAGTATATCTTTAATAGTGTGTGAATTGTGAAAGTGTTTCTTTTGATATGGCATCTATTGTCGTCTATTCTTTGCTGTACCTAGAGTTTTTATGTTTCTTTTTGGGGTCATTCCCTTTACAAATAAGCGGGTATATCTTTTATATTATATACTAATAAATATCACTTTATGTTTCTATTATTGTTTTGTTCTTTGGGGGAAAAATGTTATGTTTTATTAATTTTTAATAAATAAATAAGTGCGGATCAGTTAAAACATCATGTGAATTCATATATGATTATGTTTAGGTGCACTTTTGCCAGATAAAGAAATCAGTTTGAATCTTTAGTTGCTTTTATGAAAACTTGGATGCTAAGAATTTACAGAATAAGATTGACATGATTTAAGGTAAAGATAGGTTAACTTAGATAAGAAATCTGATAGGTGTTCCATCCCCTCATTTTATTGTAAAATAATCAATCACCCATTTGTAGAATTTGATTATACTATATTATGATTAATTAACAACTTTTCTTGTTTTGGTTGGTTGAAGATTATGCGTGGACATCTATGGCACGTACACTGAGATAATGAAAGATTTCTACCTTCACTTTACTACATTGGGGACGATAATGGAGATATGTTGACAGGTGGTATTCAATGATGCAGGGTAATTTACTATCATATATGAATGAATGAATGCCTTTAAAGTCTTTTGGAAGTTTTGAAGATTGTGGTCCATTTTGTCATAATTCAGGGTTGTACTGAGCTTGTGGGAAACCAAATCAATTACTCTTTCTTCTTTATACTTACAAGGAAGGCAATGCTACCTTCAATTTGGAAAGTTACCTTCCACATGCACTCTTGCTTTAGATGTACACCGATATATGCTATCAACATACACTCTTGCTTTAGATGTTGATTACGAATTACAAGAATTTTCATGGAAAATCCGAAACCGGGGAAAAACCATGGGAATCCTGATTTTTTAGAAAAATCCACTATATGACAAATTATTAAAATGACGATACATCATTATATCCAAAAGGCATCATATAAGATGTAAATTACATGTAGGTGGTTATTTCATTCTACAAGGAAGGTAGAAAACTTTTACAGAGACCAAATCAAATGCCTTGCTAATTCATTAGTAGTGCTTTGGCATCTTGCACATGGAAAGCTGCTAAGGAATGGGAAGAATATGACATGTCTACAACCCTCACCAAATGATACTTTATTGCCAAGGCTTAGCATATAGGGGTTTGCAAAGATCTTGAAAATCACGTAAATAGAATACAAGGCAAGAATTTGAGGAAGATTGAAGGAAAAGCACTAGGGATTTCTAGAATTTCTGTAAATCCTATGTGTGGTGTGGTTTTGATACCTATGGACCTCCATTTGTTGTACCACTTCACAAAACCGCAAAAGAAACAATAAAATATTAATGAATATTGAATTCATTTATTTTAAAAACGTATAATTAGTATATTTGAATTTTAAATTTTTGAAGAACATAACAAAATAAAATTAAAATTTTTATATTATGTATTCTACATAGGTAAATGATTTATATAGTTTGTTTTCTATAAATAAATTAACAACATAAGTTAATTTAGTTGTATAATTTATTCTATTAAATATTCTTAAACTGATTTGTTTTCTTTAAAAGTCTAGCAAAATCGTACATTATGTCATGCAAAAATAGTTAGCAAAAATTCATTATTCTTATGTCTAAATATAATTGTATCAAAATAAAACAAAGAAGTTAATATATATTATATTTAATGTTTGGTTTGAATTGAAAAGGAGATTTGATTCTAAAAAATCTAGCTACCATTTTAATTTATTTTATGTCATGATTAGAAATTGCCTTAGGATTCATGTTTGGAATCTCATTAAAAGAATAATTGTTTTTAAAAACAAACATCTTAAAAAGGTATATACTCTCACCCTCACATAGGCCCACAAAACCATGATAAACCAGATAAATTTATAAAGCACAAAATTAAAGATAAACACGTAATCATGTCACCCAATCATGTACAAATTCTAAACTACACGTTGGAAAAAAAATATATGTTAATCCGACTTGAAACGAATGTGATATGCATGTTTTAAATGTTTCACAGAAACCGGTTCCGACCCCTAAAAGTTGTTCCGGTTCCTAACACCGGTTCCAGTTCTTAGACCCGCTTTGTTCGGACCCGATGAACCCAAACCCGGATTACTCGGAACCCGAATAAAACCAATTTTTAAACTCGGAACTGGAACAGTTCTATATATTCTGGTTCTAACGGTTCCGGTTCCTGTCCGGTTTCCCTACCTGTAGGAATTAATAAAATATTTGTAGGAAAAATAGGTTTCCCATATTAAGCTACAATTATGTTTATTTGTAAATAAGAAATCAAATATCCTTCTTTCTTTTGTTTATATTAAGCTACAATTATGTTTATTTGTAAATAAGAAATCAAATATCCTTCTTTCTTTTGTTTATATTAATTTTCTTACTTATAGATCAATGTAAGCGATTAAAATCAAAAGTGAAGATTAAAACAGAAAATTGGTGGATTCCACACGTCATTATTTTATATGAACAGGAAGATGAACATAAATAAAAAATATAAAAATATTTAATTTTTCATTGTAAATATTTGTGAAAGAAACTTTACCGACTACATAGTCCTCGATAAATCTTGGCTCCACATGACTCTCACCACATAAACTTTAGGGCATTATAACAAAAATTACATGAATGATCCCTACGATTTAGTGTAATCTGCATACTTGGTCCTTAATTTTGTTTAACTCAGATGGTCCTTATGATTCAGATTTGTTTCAGATTTGCTCCCTAAATGAGTTAAAAAGACTAATTTACCATTTTCTAATTTCTTTTAACTTTATTTATATTGTTTATCTAGTATTTTATAAAATGTATATATTAAAATAAGATGGTCCACCGACTTCGAGGGACTCCAGGAAGGCTATTTGGGAAGATCTCGATGACAGATTCAGACAATCAAACGGAGAAAAATTGTATCATCTTCAAAAGGAATTTTCCGACCTAACTTAGGGATCTGATGATCTGCCCACCTATTTCACCAAATTGAAGAAACAATAGGCCGAATTAAACGCCCTATCCTTGATTCCAAGTTTTACTTATGGTGCTGCACACGCAATTCAAGAAAGTCAGCAAAATCAAAGGCTGATTAAGTTTCTTATGGGATTGAATGTCTATTATGGATCAACCAGGGGAAGGTTCTAATGAAACCTCTTCCTTCTGTTGCTCAAGCTTATGCTCTTCTGATTCAGGATGAAAAACAACGAGAGGTACACTCTTCATCTCACTTCTTATCATAATTCGCATCAATGACTGTCAAATCTGGAGTTAATCATTACAAGAACAAAAGAGGGAAAAGTAATTCTTTGATTATGGAAAAGTTAAGTTACAATATAGAAAAAATATAGTTTATATACAAAGGGTAAGAAGGGTAAAAAGGGAAAATTAACTAAACCAACTCTATCAACCACCGTTAAGATTACGCATGAATACGCCAACAAAATTTAAAATGGAAACTAGAAGTCGCCAGAGGAAAACCATGTTCGCTGGAGAATATGAGGGTTACTAGAAGAACATCGACACCGCCTCTTACTGAAAAAACCAGGTTCGTCGGATCTACAACTCTCATTCTCTCTCTCTCTCTCTCTCTCTCTCTCTCTCTCTCTCTCTCTCTCTCTTCATATATGTTGATGGGCTAAACCAGGGTATAGTGGCCATCTACAAATTTAGGTTTCTTGTTTATTCGAGTTTCAGATCAAATTTTTGAACGAGGATACAAAAATACGAGGGAAAATAATTCAATCTTATCTTCCCCTTTGTAAAGAAAAATCATCACCAGAAACCAACTACCGCCTCCGACATGCCATACTTATACCTCTATTCTCTGATCTACATATTAAAAGCTAAATAAGGAGACCCCGACGACAAAGAGTGATGTAAAAAGGAGATTTTGAATCCATAAGCCTTATATTTTCTTGGTTTATGTTTGAATTTGCTCAAAGAAAAAGAAATTTCATTGAATTACACTTGAATTTGCTTAATTTTTGGGGGTTTTAGTTCATTGGGGCTTTTCTGGGTTGTAGTGTTGATTCAAAAGCATTTTTGCCAATAAGGTTAAAAACCCAGTCTTATATGCCAGATTTAGGTCTTATTGATGTTGCATGTTTGTTGACTGAGTTTTTTCGATCAGATTAGTGGTTGGGGGAAGAATAGATATGTGGGTTTAAGGGAAGAGTGTGTGGTGCTGGTTGTAACACTCAAATCCTTGAGGTATAAAAATGTGAAGTATTATGTGAGTTATGGGAGGGTCACGACGTGAGGGAAGCACCGTCACGTCGTGACATGGCCGTATTAATCAGGATGGTTCGGTTGTGTGTCACGACGTGACCCTTTATGGGTTATGACGTGACATCTAATCAGATGCAAAACCCTAATTTCAGACTTGGACCCTATTTAAAGGAAGTTAGGGGCTAAGGTTTCCTTCACCCTCAGCCTCCATCACCTCCAAACGCCCCTTTGGCCAAACCCTAGCCCTCTTGAGGCTTTTGATCTCACTTTTGCAAGTTTGTAGTGGTTTCGAAAGAAGGAGAAGAAGAATTGGTGCTTAGTTCCTCAAAGCAACCGCTCATCATCTTTGTGTGTAGCTTCTAGACTTCTTGTAAGTCCTCAAACTCTCATCTTTTTGTTGTATGCCTCTTAGATCTAGGTTTTATGTTATATTTTGCCCCATTTGTGAAGATGGGATGAGTAAATGGGATAAAGTTTGCAACTTTATGATCTCTCTGAGTCCGAAGAACATTATATCTCATAGATCTAGGATGTGGTTGTGATTTGGGGACTTTGCATGGATTTAGGTCATATTACATCTTTTGACCTAGATTTGGGAAACGACATGTATGGGGCATGCTTGTCCATAAACTTTGCATTTTTAGGGATCATTAGGGTCCCTAAAATCCTTCTAGAAGTTTTAGATTGAAGACTTTAAAAATTAAGTGCTTAATGGTTGATACCATGCATTAAGTTGCCATTAAGGACCTTGGATTTGAGATCTTGGCTTAGAGGGATGTCTCAATGGAAAAGGTTGGAAACTTTATCAATTAAGACATTGGTCAGAATCAGATCTGAGCTTTGGAGCTCATGGAATCGATGGAAAATGGCTTAATCCATTAAGTCGTTAAACTAGTTTTCACGATGTGACGTTTTGACTGTCACAACGTGGTGACTGGGGAGGGGCACACGACTATTTTGTCTTTATTATGCCACGACGTGACCAATAGGAGGTCACGATGTGGCGACTCTCTAAAGTTAACTTGGACAGTTGACTTTGACCGTTGTCTTTTTGACAGGGGTTGACTTTCGGTCAAAGTGCTAGTTCTAAGGTATATACTAAATTTGGACCTAGTTTGATTGATGGGTGTGTTGTAGCACCAGTTACATGGCAGTTAGTTGTGGTATATTTGACATCGTGAGACAGGTGAGTATTCTTACTATATTGTGTTGGATGCTAGTTGTCTTTGTGATACTTGCATGGAAGACCCCAGGGATATCCCGAGGCATTTATATGAAAGACCATGGGGTAGCCCATAACACTTGTATGAAAGACCATGGGGTAGCCCATGACGCTTGTATATAAGGCCATGGGGTAGCTAAGACAATGTGAAGAAAAACCATCGGGGTAGTCCATGACAATGGTATGAAAGACCAAAGGGGTAGCTCATAGCACTTGTATGCAAGACCATGAGGGTAGCCCATGGCAATATATGTATGTTATGTGGTATTTTGGGGAACTCACTAAGTTTTGTGCTTACGGTTTTATGGTTTGAACATTTTCAGGTACTTCCAGTTCCAAAGGGAAAAGCGTGCCTTTTTTGTTAGGACACAATTGTCCAAAGTTTCATTCAACCCATAAAGACATGGTTTTGGGACTTTGTGACATCTTACTGGGAAAGACCCATTTTTCTTCAAATCAAACAGTCTTTCCAGCCCATTCAACCAGAAAGATTTGTTTGGACCTGGAAAGATGTATATCAAAAGGGACCTTAGTCTTTTAACTTGTTTAGGGACCAAAACCGAAACAAATTTCAATCATAGGGATCGTCCGAGTTAAAAAAATAGTATTAGGGATCAAGCACGCAGACTACCCCAAACCACAGGGACAACTGATTTAATTTACCCCAAAAATTATTATATTTTGCTAATTTTTACGGTTTAATCGTAATATTTTACATAAGTTAATTATGACCCTAATTTCAAGTTTAGCGGGTGTTAAGAATGATATGACTTCTTATTTATTTACATGACATCATATTTATATCCTAAAATAACATCTAACTTTCTAAAATGACTTCTAATTATCTACATGGTATGTGTATAATTTACTAAAACAACAAATAAGAAAGCATTTTTAGGAAGTAAGATGCTATTTAATGAAGTACATATGATGTCATGTAGGTAAATGAGAAAAGAGAAATCAAATATCTTCCTACCTTTTGTTCATATCTATCTTTCTACTCATTAGATCATGACAAGTATCAAAATTAAGAGAGGAGATTAAGAGAGAGAATTAATGAATCTCACATGTTATTAGGAGGATATTTAATTTTTCACCCTGTCAATTTCAACACATGTTAAACCTAAACCAGAAATATGGAATCGAGTAAAATTTTCTTTTTAGAATTTCATCGACCGAAATAAAACAGTGGTTAAAGTCCCAAAAGGCCAAAAAATAGTGGCCTTTTATGTATATTGCCCTAAACTTGATGGGAAAACATAAACTTACCTCATAGTATAGGAGCCATAAAAGTATTATTCATATTCAAGTGCTTCTCAAGCTCTCATACATATACATTACATACATGAGTATCATAGACTGCACACAAAATTGACAGTGTGAGATTGTCCTGCTTTCACAGATTTGTCCTTGCAAACATGAATGCACATGGTAGTGCCACAAGATTAAATAAAATGGTCCAAAATTTGGCTACTACAATACAATGAATAACTCTAATCCAAACAAGACTTCAGATAATGACAATTTCAGGTCACAGGAGAGTTCTTTTAACTCCTATCTAAAATTTACGCTTTTTTTTGATAATTAGAGTAACGTATCAGGGATAAACACTAATTGTGAGAGAAATACAAAGTCATCAGTCATCAGAGATTCAAAGATGCAACAATATATACATGTTCTATTAATTCGATATTTCAGTGCATGAATTCGTGATCACTACCAACTAGTTTATAAAATTCAAAGTATTATAATCATTTGACGAAATCGAGCACAGAAGCAACTGAAAGGACCGTTACTTTCGAAATTTGTTATAGATTTAACCATAAGTTTATACTGTTAAATAGAATGCAGCGATCATGATGAACGCAATATTTAGAATAAGATCCATTATAAAATTGTAGATGACATTTCCTAACGATATATCATCTACAGTCGATAACCTCAGTCTAAAAACAGTAAATTCGATATAAGAACAAAAGGAAATCATACCTGTTAAACCATTGAAAACGATTAAAAGGTTTGAGATTTGTAATCATGAATCAGTAAAACTTTCCGCCTTCTGAATCGCAACAATTTTGTAACGACGACGGAGATGCTATTTTCGCGGGATGTGCGGTTTTTCCATCTGATTTGAACGAAACTCGCTGTTCAATCAGTTGGGCCAGCTCATACTTTATACGTTTATACTTTAAAGTCCATCAAACATTAGTTTAAAGACAAAACTGCACAAATGGTCCCTGTGGTATGTCGAAAAATGCCACTTTGGTCCAAAAAGGTTTGGACTAGCGCCAATGGTCCAAAACTTTCATTTTGTTGCTTCTTTGGTCCAATCTGTTCTGATTATTTTCAAAATGACAGATCTACCCCTGTCAATATGATTTTCTCTTTTTTCTTATTTGTTTTTCTGATTTCTAATTTAAAAAAATAAATAAATAAATAAAAATAAATCTCTCTCTAAAACAAGAAAATAAATCTCTCTCTCTCTCTCTCTCTCACCATTGTTGGAAAAAACCTCACCATCTTGCCTCCTTTTCCCTCCCTCTCACTGAATTATTGTCAAGGATCGAAGAGGGAATCAATGGCAGTCAAGGGCTACCACCCTCGACCACCCACTGCCACCGTGACCCACCACTATCAAATATCCCCTGACCTCTAATCTATTTCCCCCTTCTTCGTTTTTTTCTGAATTGAGAAAACCACCAATGAAGGTAGAGACTTTCCGACAACGAAGACAACCCGCAACCATAGATTTCGGCCATCACCGGGCCCCTCTCCACACCCATTCACTTTCTCCGCCGATTCCGACCCGATACATAGTAACCGGAGCCGCTGGAACAGAATCCGACCACCACAGTAGATCGCCGCTGCCGCCTTGTTGCTCATCGCCGCCGCCTTGCTGCTCATCGCCGATTCCGACCAGATACAGAAGGGTGTAGGGCACTTCAAATTAACCCCTTCGTTTTGCAAGGCGAAGAACAACAGCACACCCATGAACGTCGTCCCTGCATCCAACGCCGTCGATTAGAAAAAGCCATATCAAATTTTTATACAAATCTCGGGAACCAAAGATTCGCTCAGGTCCGATGACTCCCCAAATCACAAAAGTATCAAATGTAACTTTAAATTTGGGGGATGTCCATGGAATTTCGGGATGAAGCCCCGCGAGATTCATCATCCCTACAACTAGGGTTCCGACGAGCTGAGGTATGAACATGCATCGATGTGGGATCTTCATGTGGTGTCAAGAGGTTGGTGGTGTCCGATGGGATTCCACAGCGGCGACGGAGGGCGGCAATGGCAGCCCTGCTACTTTTGCTTTCCTGTTCTGACGGGTTTGACGAGAGAGAGAGAGAGAGAGAGAGAGAGAGAGAGAGAGAGAGAGAGAGAGAGAGAGAGAGAGAGTTATTAGCTGTATATTTATTTTTAATTTTTTTAATCTGAAAATCAGAAAAGCAAATAAGAAAAAAAAGAAAATCATATTAATAGGGGTAATACTGTCATTTTGAAAAAAGACATAATAGATTGGACCAAAAACGCAACAACATGAAAGTTTTGGACCTCTGCTGCTAGTCCAAACTTTTTTGGACCTGATAATTTTGAGCAAACCACAGGGACTATTTATGCAGTTTAGTCTAGTTTAAAAGATCCTTTTGAAATGGAGCAACTTTCAATGAGCCCACTTGGAGTACATTTATGAGTTTTAAAACAAATTCCGTAAAATATTTTATCATTAAATTCGCTTTTAAAAAGTACCCAAAACCAAACCCAAAGTTAGATCGGGCCGTTGGCGGGCCTAGTTGTTGATGGTATTTGGATTTGGCACTACTTTATGGTTTGCTTAATTGGATTTTTAATAATAACTTTTTGAAATTTGCATAGTTTTTTTTTTTTTTTTTTTATTCTAACATTAAATAGTTAGTTTTGAATAATCAACTTTAAATTAATAATAACGAAGTTGAAGGTCTGAGAAACAAAACATAATTACCTAACTTGCCTGATTATTTACAAAATTTTAGAGTTACCTCTATTTCAAAAAATAAATTCAAATATGATCATATCACTTTCAAAAAATAAACACAAACACCTTTTAGTTACAGTTCAAGTTAATTAAAAAAAAATTCAATATTTCATCTTGGTACGTCTTTGAATTTATATTCATCTCTTACTAATATTTGACATTTTCATTATGTCTAAAGCTTGTCTTCATTTGAAAGAATTATTTTTGTATTTGTAACTTTTTATTTACTTTTCCGATAAATATCATTACAATTTCACTTTTTAACCATCACTCATTTCATTATATATATATATATATATATATATATATATATATATATATATATATATATATATATATATATAATTAGTACTTCAAATAATAAAATTTTCTTTTTGTCTTTTTGCCCCCATATTTATAAGGGAAAATACTGGGTACAGACATTATTTGAGGCTGAATTTCAAAATATAGACACAAAAAATTGAATTTCCGGATATAGACATGGATTCTGCGGAGGTAGCTCCGCGGAATCCACTGTAGCTCCGCGGAATGGCAAAATCGTATATAAATGAGGAAATTAAAAAAAAAAAACTCAAGATCCATTTCGCGGAGCTACAGTGGATTCCGCGGAGGTAGCTCCGACGAATGGATCTTTAGGAAAAAAAAATCTCCTCAAATGATTCTTTTATGTAATGATCTCTAATTAAAAGACCAATTTTTTTTTCCACCTCACATTCATTCCAAACATTATCATAATCTTTTCTTGAAAATAATTAGTTAGGGGGAATGAATATAAACCTCGAAGAATCGATTTGAAAAAAAAAAAACTGAAGATCCATTCCTCCGAGCTACCTCCGCGGAGCTCCGCGGAATCCACTGTTGCTCCGCAGAATGGATCTTGAGTTTTTTTTAAATACACTAATTTATTTACGATTTTGCCATTCCGCGGAGTTACAATAGATTCTGCGGAGCTACCTCCGCGGAATGCATGTCTATACCCGGAAATGTCCATTTTCATGTCTAAATTTTGAAAATACCCCCCATTTTTTTACTATTGCCGGTATTTTCTCTATTTATAAACTTCCGACTACATGGCTGATTCATCCGTCTTTTCCGTTTTTTTACCTCAATTTTCTTAGTCATCTACTTTTAGCCACTTTTGCTCACATTTCTTTGCATGGTTTGACAGTTTTAATCCCTAAAATAAAAATAAAAAAATCTTTTTTTCCTTATTACCCAAAAGTTTTACAAAACAACCAATATTTAGCAAAAAGACAAGTCATCAATCATAAAACTTGCATGTTTGAGTTTCCCGACACACTAAACTGCATAGTGTGAGGGTTTTTACTAGTTAAAATTAAGATGATAATTCAACGATGCTTTTAACTTATCTAAGTAAATGAAATGCGTAAATTTAACTCAAATGAAAACGTGTCAACATATTTGAAAATCAATACAAATATGTTCAAAGAGAAATTAAATATGTTTGAAATTAAAGCATTTTCATATCATATCTTAATAACTTTTATAGCATATATATGCCATTTCTTATATATATATAAATTTGATTTTCCCTTAGGAACAATACTTGTTCCTAATGGTCCATTTTTTTCTTTTTTATTAATTAAGGACAGTAGAGTGGTTGACAGTAACAACAACGTGTTCTCTGTCTGATTTCACCGCCAATTTAACCAATAACCATGGGATTAGTGTGCGTATCCACCGCTTCATTCCTTGGAATAATACGAACCCACTATTGATCTTTGTTAATCTTCTTTCTCTCTATTATGAGCAAAAATCCCTAAAATCACCCCAATTCCATCTCATCTTCGTATCTGCATATCAAATGGTTCTTCATTCCTTGGAAATATACGAACCCACCTGCTCGCCTCCTGTACGCCCAATGTTTATTCCAATAGACCGACCTTCTTTTCAGATTAGTCAATCTTCAATACACGCGTCGCATGGATTTTGACTCCTCCAACTTGCTTCATAGATTCTCTTGCCGATGGAGTTATATTACTTCTATCGGTCAAAAAAATTTGTCGATTTCATTTTGTCCAGGTTTGATTTTTTTTTTCATTCTATGCTCAATTTTGCTTTTCTGTTTGAAAAACCTACCCTTTTAGGCCCTAATTTGCACTTTAGAACCGATCAGATGGTCTTCTAAAGCATTTGGTGGCTACATTTTCTTACTCTGTCATAGTATTCATCGACTCCGGATTTGGGTGTGTGCTCTTCGATTTGTTTCCCAAACTCTCTCCTGTATCTCCTTAAAAGGCTCCAATTTTCCAAAATACTTTCGATGATTATGTTTTCTTTTTCAATTTCTTCATATTTCTCTTCTCTTTTTTCTTGGTTACGCTTCAAATCATCACCAAAAGACATCAAGTTCTTCTTCTCGTTTATTTATGTGGTTCGTTTGGTTGATTTGGGCGTCTATGTGTTGAATATACAAAAATCAACCCATTCATAGGTAAATGTGTCGAAATATTTTGAAGATGTTTACCAACCATGTCTATACTGATTGGTCATTTATTGCAGGAGCTTCAGAGAAAAAAACTTCAGTTGAAGATTTTCTCATATGCAGATTCCATTAGAAGTAATATGGTCTCATCATATACTGTTTCAAGTGCTATATAAAGCCTTGGTATTTGCAATTATAGGTTGGAGATATTGATGGGGTAAAAGTATTGAAGCATGACCTCATCATGAATGTTGTTCTGTATGTTATTTTCTTATTTGATTTAGTTGGTTTTTTGATTCTCGATTATGAAGCTCAGTAAAACCTTAACTGAATTATGCCCACCAAGTTTTTGTTAAAATGCCAAATACAGATTTTTGATATGTTATATCATTATTTTTTTACTCTACGTTTTTCCTGTACATTAATTGATTAAAAAATGTTTTTTTGTCTGTTTTTTCAACTGTTATATCATTGTTTTTTTACTCTATCCCATTTATTTCTAAGTAAGGAACACCTCGCAATAGTAGCAGCTGCAGCCATGGCTGATAAGTATGGAATTCAAGTCTGAAAATCTTTCAATACAAGACCACCAACGCCATGACAAGACGAGAAGCAGCCATGAATCGTTTTTGTCTTTCAGCAAGGGAATATTTTGAGACTCGACGGTTCTTTTGGTTCGGTGGCCTAGGTTAAGACAATGTCGTGAGTCGGATATGTGATGCAGTTTTGAGAAGATCCGGCGTATCTGAGGAGGATCGAGATGTTTCTGATTTGGAAAGGAGAGTTCTATTGATATGTTGAGTTTAACGGAGCTATTATTTGAGCATCTGTAAGGGATTCTTGAAGCTTCATAGGAGGATAAAGTTGTGGATAAATTCTTCTAATGCAAGTTTCGGTCGCAAGAAGTTCAGTTTGTAAGGTGCCTCATTAATCCAATGGTATTATGATCGATTTCATTAACAATGAGGCGACGATGTTGGGGAAAGTTTATGAGGTATCCATCTGAGGTTCAGGGTTTTCTTTATGATTGTTTGGTCATTATTTGAAGGATCGTAATATGATATGTTGCATTCCGAGAGTCAAGGTTGGTATGTATCTGGTTGAGCCGGTCTGAGGCTTTGATGTGGTAGACGCCAGTAGATGATGGTTCGAACCGTAAGTGGGGGAGAACTGGGTATTCTGCTTGGAGGATCATCAGCCGGTTTGATTTTATGGTTTCATCACAATGGGTCTGAGGAATTTGCTATGTAGGTATACTAAATTTTTGGTTCAGGATTATTGCGGCATAAGAGACGGAAGGTGGGCTACCATCAAAGTGCTAAGAGTTTGGAAGTTTCTTGTTGCGTTCTCAAGGATTCTTCAGAATTCTACATGGTTACGACGTAATTAAGGTTTGGTCAGACTGTGAGCATAGAGTTAGTTGCCATCAGATTTATGTGTTCAGGGATGTGTGGGTTGTACTCACATCGGAAGCTGTCAGTCAAGGAACTTGCTCGTTCCTTATGGATGAAGGATGTTTGAGTCGTG